TACAATTCAGACTCAAGATTGATTTCATTGGAACTTCTTCCAATGAAACCTTGTGCAGACATTGATGTTACCATTTTCGGGTCGGGGGTTATGACTGGAGATGATGGAAGCGGCTTTTTTCTTGATTCTGATGGTTCTTCAAGTGGTCCAGGAGCAAAGGATGCTGATGGAATGCCGATTTACTTGAGTGCAATAAAGGAGTGGATGATTGAATTGGGAGCATCAATGATCTCAATATCAATCCGAACAGATTTGGCCTGGTATAGACTTGGACAGCCATCTAAGCAGTATGCTCTGTGGTATGAACCAATTCTAAAAACAGCAAAGGTTGGTAGAAGCATAATCACTTTGCTCAAAGAGCAAAGTCGAGTAGCACGGCTTTCTTTTGCAGAGGTCATTAAGAGATTATCAGGGTTTCCAAAGGACCACTCTGCGTACATTTCTTCTGATCCAGCATTTGTTGAGAGATATGTGGTTGTCCATGGACAGATAATACTGCAACTGTTTTCAGAATTTCCTGATGCACAGATTAAAAAGTGTCCATTTGTGGTTGGACTTACAAAGAAAATGGAGGAGAGACACCATACTAAGTGGTTGGTAAAGAAGAAGGTTGTGGAGAAGAGTGGATCAAACTTGAACCCGAGGGCATCCATGGGACCTGTGGTTTCCAAGAAGAAGGCAATGCGGGCTACAACAACAAGGCTGATCAACAGAATCTGGGGGGAGTACTATTTAAAGTACTCTCCAGAAGATCCAAATGAGGAGGAAGCTAATGGTGAAAAGAAAGAGGAGGAAGTTGAAGAAGAGGAGGATAAGGAGGACATAGAAGAGGATGATGATGAAGAGAACGATAATGCAGCAGCAACGGAACAAGCCCAGAAGCCTAGTTCAATTTCAAGACAAACTAAATCATGCTCCAACAAGAAGGAGATTCTGTGGGATGAGGAGCCCGTAGGCACAACATGTTCTGGCGAAGCTCTTTATATGCATGCCAGTCTTCATGGAGATGAAATTTCTGTTGGTGGTGCAGTCTTGGTAGAACTTGATGGATCAGATGAACTTCCTGCCATTTATTATGTGGAGTATATGTATGAAACAAGAAATGGAAGCAAAATGTTTCATGGGAGATTGATGGAACGAGGATCTCAGACTGTTCTTGGCAACACTGCCAACGAGAGGGAGGTATTTTTGACAAATGAGTGCACGAACTTGGCATTAAAGGTTGTTAAAGAGACAGCAGTTGTGGATATCAAATTATTGCCGTGGGGGCATCAGTACAGGAAGGAGAATGAGGAAGCTAGCCGAAAAGACAGAGAAAGGGCAGAAGATAGGAAGAAGAAGGGATTGCCAACTGAATATTACTGTAAAAGCTTGTATTGCCCCGGGGAAGGTGCATTCTTTAGCCTTTCCCGTGATACCATGGGTCTGGGTTCTGGTGCTTGCAACTCTTGCAAAGTGAACGAAGCTGAGGAGGCCAAGGAGATTTTTAAAGTGAATTCATCAAAGACTGGTTTTGTATACAGGGGAGCCGAGTACTCAGTTCATGATTATGTCTATTTAAGTCCCCATTGGTTTTCTACTGAAAGGATGGAAACTGAAACTTTCAAGGCTGGTAGGAATTTGGGACTGAGAGCTTATGTTGTGTGTCAAGTGCTGGAGATAATTGGTACGAAGGAATCTAAACGACCTGGACCAGAATCTACCCAGGTTAAAGTGAGAAGATTTTTCAGACCTGAGGACATTTCGGTTGAGAAGGCATACTGTTCTGATATTAGAGAGGTCTACTACAGTGAAGAAACACACCTTGTGACTGTTGATGATATAGAAGGAAAATGTGAAGTTAGAAAGAAGAGCGATCTTCCAGTATGCAATGCTCCTGTCACTTTCGAGCATATCTTCTTCTGTGAGTATCTGTATGATCCTTCTAATGGGTCTATCAAGCAGTTGCCGGTGACCACCAAACTGAGGTACTCAACAGGAGGAGGTGATGCGGAATCTAGGAAGAGGAAGGGGAAAATCAAAGAAGGAGAAGATGTTTCAGAAGTTGAGAAACAGAGAGCTGATGCTGAGCAGAAACGTCTAGCCACATTAGATATATTTGCCGGGTGTGGTGGCTTGTCTGAAGGGCTGCGTCAGGCTGGCATTTCATTAACCAAGTGGGCAATTGAGTATGAAGAGCCTGCTGGTGATGCTTTCAAACTGAACCATCCCGAGTCACTGGTGTTTATCAATAACTGCAATGTGATCTTAAGGGCTGTAATGGAGAGATGTGGGGATATAGATGATTGCATCTCAACTTCTGAAGCTGCTGAATTGGCTAAAGCACTTGATGAGAAGGTTAAGAATGATCTGCCTCTGCCATGGCAAGTGGATTTCATCAACGGAGGACCTCCATGCCAGGGTTTCTCTGGAATGAATAGGTTCAACCAAAGCACTTGGAGTAAAGTTCAGTGTGAAATGATTTTGGCATTCTTGTCCTTTGCTGACTACTTCCGGCCAAAATATTTCCTCCTGGAGAATGTGAGGAACTTTGTGTCTTTCAACAAAGGACAGACATTCCGTCTGACTCTGGCTTCACTTCTTGAGATGGGTTACCAGGTGAGGTTTGGTATTCTGGAAGCTGGAGCTTATGGAGTTTCCCAGTCGCGGAAGCGAGCATTCATATGGGCAGCTGCGCCCGATGAGATTCTCCCAGAGTGGCCAGAGCCAATGCATGTCTTTGGTGTACCAGAGTTGAAGATCAATTTGTCAGGGAACTCATATTATGCTGCTGTTGGAAGTACTGCAGGCGGAGCCCCTTTCCGTTCCATAACTGTCAGAGATACAATTGGAGATCTCCCAGCTGTAGGAAATGGAGCATCCAAGGTCAATCTGGAGTACGAAAGTGACCCCATCTCATGGTTCCAGAAGAAAATGCGAGGGGAGATGGCTGTTCTGACTGATCACATTTCGAAAGAAATGAATGAGCTGAATCTCATTCGCTGCCAGAGGATTCCAAAGCGGCCAGGTGCTGATTGGCAATGCCTTCCAGACGAAAAGGTGAAGCTCTCTACTGGACAGATTGTTGACTTAATCCCGTGGTGCCTGCCCAACACGGCCAAGCGCCACAATCAGTGGAAGGGCCTGTTCGGAAGGCTTGACTGGGAAGGCAACTTCCCAACCTCCATCACAGATCCCCAGCCAATGGGAAAGGTGGGAATGTGCTTCCACCCTGACCAGGACAGAATTCTGACAGTTCGGGAATGCGCTCGGTCTCAAGGATTCAGGGATAGCTACCAGTTTTCGGGCAACATTCTTCACAAGCACAGGCAGATTGGAAATGCAGTACCTCCTACTTTGGCCTATGCGTTGGGACGAAAACTCAAGGAAGCAGTGGACAGCAAGAACAAGGCAGAGGAGTAGTTCGTGGTCGTGTTTTTCTATGTTGTAGAAATATGTTGTTCCATTTCGTTGCCGAAAAACCACAGTTGTCTTTCATATTTTTATATGCTCTGGCTGTTTACTTGGCCTTTGAACTTGTAGATTTCAATTTCAATACACAGAAGCAATTTACATGAAGGAAAACTTTATTTGAATTCATATAACCTCTTTTTATACCAATAGGGCTGGTTCAGAGATTTTTAAGGCTTGGGGCGAAGTAAAAAACTGTGCCCTCATTTCATATAAAAAAAATTGTTTTCACACGTAAAACATCGATAAAATTATATTTAGAAAAACACTTCAAACTCAATAATTTAGAAATACGGAATAATTAATTTATTTTGTATCAAGAGAAGGAAACTAAAAAACTTCGGGCTTTCAAGTAAATAGAATATGAGTTTTGTTTTTCATCTGAACTTTTAAAGTGTTTTTGTATAAATCGTGAGTTGTTTTTTCTTATTTACTAAATTTGTCAATATAAGACTAAAAAAATATTAATGTTTTTAAGTCTTTAAGGATATGTATAAGTAATGAATGAACACACATGGTGTTTTGAACCTAAGACCTCTTCATTCATTTTACACAATAAAACCACCAATTCTAGTTAAATTTCTTTGTCACTAAACCAAATTTTTATACTCTTATAAAAACATATATAAATATATCACACTAATAATTTTGGTGCCCCCAATTTTTTTGGGCCCCAGACGGTCGCCCTGCCCGCACTGGGCCTGATACCAATTTTACTCTCCACTTTTAACTAAATTATCGATATCTTTTTAAACTCAAAGTCACTATCTAAACTACTCGCACAAATATGTAAATTTATCTTTATACCCATTTAAAAAAATAAAAACTCAAAATGAGTATTAATGAATATTTAGCAACTCATTCAATTTTAAATCTTTTGGTTGAAACAAGAGAACATTCAAATGAATGATGTTAATTCATCCATGAATATTATACTCTAGCTCAAAACCATCTTCAGAATAATCAAGTGCCGCTTTTGAAAGCTTAGAGATTACAGTGATTACTAGTGCTACAAATTCTTGAAATTAAAGTTATTTATCATTTTGATGCTTACGATTGCTTATCTACATACATATAAAAAAAACAAACAAAAAGAAGAACTTTTGTTTTATCTGAAGTCTAATGGTTGAATTCTCAATTGCACATTCAACGCTTCGTTCATCTGATACATAACATTCATCTACAAAGTAGAAATTTTAGAGTAGCCAAAAATGTGAAGCAAGCAGTTTCAGATTGGGCCGCGTAGCACGGCAACATCGATTGGCAAGGATCATGTGTGGTGGGTCCCGGGTTGAATCATGACATGTCACGTGTCCACGTGTCCTTTGTTGAAGCTGTCCCAGGAAGGTCAATTCTGTCATTTGGTACAGATCTTGAAAGAGAGTGAGTGAGTGAAAGCCAAGTCAAAGCGTCAACAATTTTTTCACCTAATGTATCAGATCTCCTAATCAACGCCCACGTGTCCACACCAGCATTTATTGTATTTTGTCCTTAAAAAAACCGCTTATAATCTTGCTCAATTGCTCTTCCAACGTCAATTGGACAATTGGAAAAACGGCAATTAACGGCTCATTTCTCACGCTTTCCACTCTCTCTCTCTCTCTCTCTCTCTCTCTTCTTCTTCTTCCTCCTCGGCCTCTCTCGTCGTCGGTTATTTCAAAGCAGATAGAGCAATTTGGCTTCTCAGCCGTTGGATTTATTTTTGTTGGTCTGAGATTCTGAGGACAGCACAGATCATCATCCATGTTTGTCAGAAAGCTTGTGGAGAAGGCTTCCAAGAAGGTAAGTGATCATCTTCTTCCCTCGCTTCGTTTTTCAATACATGTGATACTGGAAAGAGAGGGAGATTTGAACGCGGAATTTGAAACTTAGGTCTTAACGTTTTTAACGAACTGAGTTACAAGCGGCTTGTAAATGTTTCTTTTGAATACATGATGATTTTGATCTGTTCTTCTCATCCTTCCTCTTCTTGTTCTTGTTTTTGTCAAAAAGGAGAAAAGGGGTATGGGATTACAATTTTGATTAAGATAATAGTTTGTCAGGCAAATAAAGTTGTTTGTTATCATATATGTTGTGATGCATCTTTTGCCGTTGGATGCACGTTGCTTCCCGATTTTTAATTATAATTTTTTAACTTTGGTTGTAGTTGAGAGTTTATATTGTTTCAAAAATGTCAGTTGATGTGTGACTGTGTTTGTTAGTAAAAAAATGAGGTAAATAATTTTGAACAAATAATACACTTCGATATTTAGAGGATAGTTTTCTATGGCTACATATATGCACAAATGGGATGAAATTTATTTTAGAATTTTCATGATTAATTCGCAATTAAGTGATTGGATTTGTTTTAATGTCTCATTTGCTTGATATAGATTAAATTTTTAGATCAAATTTGAGTCATTAATAGAAAATAAGGACGTTAATTAATATTTAAGTAATAATTTAATCTTTAACAATCACATTATATAATTTACAAAATTTGATCTAAACAGTTAGTCTCTCTAACATTACCCGATAGAAAAAGACCAACTCACATATGAAGTGTGACATATAAAATTAGTATACTGTAATGCGTTGCTTACCTATTTAATGAGTCAATATTTAGGAAAAAAGACGTTTTTAATAGGTGGGGCCTTGTGGAGAGGTGGGCGGTTGGATAAGAAACAAGCCAATATGCTTTCATTTTCATACTTTTCATACAAGAATATGTAGATAATACTTTAATTAATTGAAAATAGTCCATAGTTTTAACTTTAATGTCGTTTTGGGCTTGTCTTATCCAATTTGGCTTTCAATTAGACGAAAGCTATTCGTGCGCTTTTAGGTCATGAGAAAATCTTTAATACGAGTATAGTCCGGATGCACAAAGCGCTTGTTTGCCTATAATCTTTCACAAACGTAATTTTTACTATTTCTGTTTGTTACAGTGCGATAGCCTCACCGAATATTCTTTACTAAATAACACTTGAGAAATTATAAGCATCAGTAAGTCTCGTTTCAACTTGTTTTATAAAAAAATCATGATAGTATTCCTATATCCTATTGAGTTTACTTGTCTTGATATGCTTCCTATTTTCTTTTTGACTCCTTTTTCTTACAAGGGGAATGGGACCTTATTAGAAAACTTACCTTTTCAGTTGGTTTCAACACTAACTTAGGTCTCAAGTATTTGGCACCCCTTTGAACTTTTATTAAAGGCGTTCAAAATCCCCACCCTCATGTAAATAGCTGCCACGTACCCACCATAAAAAAAAAAAAAAAATCTTATCCTTAATAGATCAATGACATAGGTCATATCGTACTAAATCACCGTCGTAATTTGAGTGATAGAGTATTTATCTCAATTCATAAGACGAAAGTTCATTTCCCTTCTTAGAATAAAGAAATTACCGCTACCCAAATAAATTTTATATTCTAATGTGTGTCATCTTTCGATATTTCTCATGTAATTAACAAGTAACAATAGTCACTTAGTACTACGGTCTAGTGATATTCTTCTTTACTGGTAAGTGAGATGTCTTAGATTTGATTTTCGTCAAAGATGAATTTGAACCACATTATTGCTAGGTTAAACCTACCCATTTTCCTTAGTGTAGATAATATCGATAGTAACAATATATCAAATTTCTTTGCTACATATTTTATTAATTTGTCGTTATGCATGTTTTTTAATGGATATATATATATATATATATAGAGAGAGAGAGAGAGAGAGAGAGAGAGAGAGAGAGAGAATAGTCAACTTATAGCAAATTAAAAAAAAAAAGATTAATAATTTTGGTATATGGTAAGGACTAAAGATCTAAAACACGTCTCCATGTGATGGGCGGTGGATCAAATGTTTATTTATCTACAAAGAGATTTTGTGGGCCCAAATTTAAATCAAAGTGAGAATGGGCCGGGATGTGTATGCCCATTACGAGCCCACGAGCAAACTGGTCCAATTACTCTTCTCTTCCATCCACTGCCCAACGAGCTTCCACCGTCCGATTTGTCGACCCATATCATGCTCAAAGGGAGGGAGAAACTCAATGACATACTATTCAAATTTACCTTTTTTGGGTAAAACAACGGGGCTAAACGCCCAACAAAGAGAAACTAAAGCAAAACATCAAGAGGTTAGAGATTCCAGCAACGTCTGACACTAGTAAGATGTCGATATTCAAACTAACTTTATTACTCACATAATGTATCTGGTGAACTCTTTATCTACTCGTACTTGTGGGTTAGGTGAATTTCATCAGCGCAGTTTACTTGCCTCCTTGCATTTAAATTTGAATGTATTTTTTGTAAAAGGAGGCAAGTAAACTGCAATAAAGGGACCCTTTTGAAATACAATAGATGTGATTTTCTAGTGGAAAAACACTCTTTTTAGACTCGAAGTAGTTTTTTAGGGAGGGAGAAAGTCGAACAAATACCATAAATACATGAGTGAAGATTCTGAACCGTTTGAGCTACAAGTCACTTGGTATAGACTAGAGCTTTGTCCTTTTTGTTGGTTTTGAGAGTTTATGTTGTTGCTTTTGTGGCAACGAACAGTTGATGACAGTATTAAATTAAAAATCAGATTTATCTTTTTGTTTCTAAAGGCAGTTTAAGAGTTAACATTACTTATTTGTTATCTATTTTGTAGCCTGGAGGAAATTCTGATATTGATAAGGGCAGTGATATCAATCCACGTGTAGTATTCCATCATGGAATACCATCAGGCTGTAACTTGTTGGCTTATGACTCCATCCAAAAATTACTTGCAACTTCAACCAAGTGAGTCCATTTCTTCTACCAAAATTAGTATTATCGGCTTTCAGAAATTCTCTCTGCAAGATGTCCGTTCTTTAATACAGATTGGACGTGGCATTGATATTGTCAATAATCATCGACACATTATCAATGACATATCATTAGCCAGACTGTTTTGCCGTTCATGTTTTGTCCAAATATTAGTCTTCGTTTTGACTACAATAATTTCTATGACATTTTCAGGGATGGCAGAATCAAATTGTTTGGCAAAGATAACACTCAAGCTCTACTTGAGTCTGTCAATGCAGTTCCAAGCAAGTTCTTACAGGTGCTGTACAAATATTACGTGTTGCTTTCTTTGATTTCCAAATGTTTTGTTTCGGTTTTCATGTTAATGTAATGCAATTTAGAGACCCTCTTGTTTGTCTTGAAATATTTAGCAGTTTTTTCTTTCGTACGTTGTATTTGTAGTCTGATATTATTGGTGATGTTATTGTCCAGTTTATGGAGAACCAAGGGATCCTTATAAATGTAAATATCAGAAACCACATTGAGGCAAGTTTCTGCACTATGCTTTCCTCTGATATATTTTTCGTTGTTCGATGAATGAATGATCGAAACTTAGCTTTTAGGTTTGTTTATCTTCCTCTTTTAATAGTTATTTTGCAACGTTGTGCCTAGGTTTGGGACATTGAAAAGAACTTGTTTGCTGATGTTCATCCCTTTCAAGAAGATATAACCTCGTTCACTGTTATGCAGCATAGTCCATACATGTAAGTGTGTCATCTTCCAATTGTGATCGATCAAGCAGATAGGTAGGTTCATTTGTTCCGAGTAAGTTTATGTATTGGACAACTGTGTTTGCAGGTATGTTGGAGATTCTGCTGGTAATGTTACGGTTTTGAAGCTTGAGCAAGAACATATAGTCCAAATGAAATACACTATACCTTACTCAGTTTCTCATGGTCAGATGAAGTCCTTCCCTTTTCCATTTTTTATGCTCAGTAGTCACATGCATAGATTTTATCGTCTTTGTTTCGTTCTTAAATTTGGGTATGCAAGCATTTTCTTTCCTGTCCTAACTTGATCAGTCATATCATCAGGGAATAATCCAACTGAAGTTGCTGGTGATACTGCTGTGATGCATATACTACCTCAACCAACAGCTGAAAGTAAGAGGTAGCCTCTCCAAACCTTGCTGCTGCTGCTGCTGCTCTCTCTCTCTCTCTGTTTAAGCGGTATAGAAACACTTGGTTATACTTAATTCTTGAATCATGTGTATCAATGCAGGGTTCTGATAATTTTTAGAGATGGTATAATATCATTATGGGACATTCGAGAAAGCAAATCTGTATACACAGTGGGAGGAAATCCATTGCAATCACTTCATCAGGAAGGGAAAAAGGTGACCTCTGCATGCTGGGCATGTCCCTTTGGGAGTAAAGTTGTTGTTGGCTACAATAATGGAGAGATTTGTATCTGGAGTATTCCAAGAACTGAATTTCCTTCAGAGTCTAGCACGCAAATTGCTCCAATATCTAAACTAAATCTTGGATATAAGTTGGACAAAGTGCCTATAGCATCACTGAGATGGGCTTATGCCGATGGGAAGGCAAATCGGTTATATGTTATGGGCGCGTCTGAAATCGCATCTTCAAACTTGTTGCAGGTATTTTGACTTTAAATCATTAGTAACATGTGCAGAACTGAGTGAGGTGAAAATTTGACTTTTTTTTTTTGTTTTGTTTTCATGAGGCAGGTAATTCTGTTGAATGAGTATACCGAAGGTCGAACTATCAAATTAGGGCTTCAACTGCCGGAGCCTTGTGTTGACATGGGGATCATTTCAAGCTTTAGTGAGCAAAGCAAACATAGGCAAGACTGTTTTCTTTTGCTTGGTAACTCAGGACATCTTTATGCCTATGATGATCGTTCCATTGAGAAGTATCTTTTACAAAGCCAATCTAAGTCTTCGCCTTCGTTACCAAGGGATATCATGGTGAAGATACCATTTGTTGACTCAAAGATTACCATAGCAAAATTCATCACACAAAATACCCACATGCTAAGTTCTGCAGATGAGGTAATAGGACCGTTTAAGATTATGTACTGTAACATTCTTTTATATAGCAGATTATCATTAGTCTGGAAAGTTTGTAATGTGGTACTTTGATTTCTTTGGTTGCATAGGACTACCTTCTGCTGGCGAAAAGCTTTCCATCTCTCCTTTCTTTCGAGACAAAACTGAAAGATGGGACTCAGTTAAATGCATCCCGTTTTACTGGATTTTCAAAAGTTAAAAATTTGTACATAACTGGACACAGTGATGGAGCCATAAATTTTTGGGATTTGTCATGTCCACTTTTAATACCAATTATATCATTAAAGCAACAGGTAACAACATTCCATCTGTTATTGCTCATATTAATACATTATGCTTGCAAATCATGTAGTATTCGATATCTTTGGACTACTGTGCTTACTTGCTCTCCTCTGGCCAATCTCATTAAACAAAATGCAGAGTGAGGATGATCTTTCTTTAAGTGGTATACCACTTACAGCGTTGTTTTTCAATTTGAACTCCCGACTTCTTGTTTCTGGAGATCAGAGTGGAACAGTAAGTACCATCTTCGATTCATTTGGGGAATTATGATCAATCAATTTAACCACTTTCAGGAAAGAAAAAAAAATTGGGGTATATTTTATATATATGTGATTTTCAGGTTCGAATCTTTAGACTCAAACCAGAACCATATGCCAACGTGAGCAGTTTCCTGTCTCTTCAAGGTATGATTAAGAAACAGCCTTATGAATGTCACATTTTTACTGCAAATGAAGTACATTACAAATGTCCTTATGCATTTCACATACTTCTGGGCAGGAAGTACAAAGAAAGGAAATGATCACATCATCCAAAGTGTGAAACTTTCTAAGGTTAATGGTTCTGTAATTTCTGTGAACATAAACCAGAGCACAGGACATCTTGCTGTCGGGTCTAGTAAAGGATATGTAAGCTTACTATCCTATAACTACTTTTCCGATCTTCTCCTCCTTCCCAACATATGCTTATTATCAGGTTTCGTAGAGCTGGTATGTAATTCTGATCCATGTGAATTTGTTTTCCTCACAGGTTTCGGTTATTGATATAGAAGGGCCAACTCTGTTATATCAAAAGCACATTGCAAGTGAAATATCCACCGGCATTGTCTCCCTGCATTTCCAAACCTGCAGTTTTCATGGTTTTGACAAGAACATCTTAGCAGTTGCAACAGAGGACTCATCCGTTTTGGCTCTTGATAGTGATAATGGAAACACATTGAGCACCAGTTTGGTTCATCCGAAGAAATCCACTAGAGCACTTTTCATGCAGCTTTTGGGTAAGTTCTACACACTTTAAGGGTGAAAGTATGCGATTTTCAAGTCCAGAGGCATTGAAAAGTTGCATAACGAGTAAATTTTTTGTGATTGTTACACAGATGCGCATGATACACTGGTAAACAGATCGAATATATTGAATGGTCTTGATTTGATAAAAGGGAGTAGTACAGTTGACGACACCACACAAAAGCAGTTTCTGCTACTGCTGTGTTCTGAGAAAGCTGCATACATATACTCCTTCACACATATCATGCAGGTAACTAGTAGTTTGGTTTATGCAGGCACTGTGAATTGTAGAACAGTTTTATCTGATTCTTTCATTTTCGGCTTTCTTTCTTTTATCTCAGGGAGTTAAGAAGGTAATCTACAAGAAGAAGTTCCAATCATCTTGCTGCTGGGCATCAACATTTCAAACCTCCAATGATTTAGGCCTTGTTCTCCTTTTTACAAGTGGAAAAATTGAAATAAGGTAGTAATTTTCGTAGTCTATTTTTTCGATTTTTTCTTCTTTTTTCAACAGTAGATTATGACCCCACAAACCTTCTTGTGAAATGTTAGGTCCTTGCCAGATATATCCTTCATAAAGGAGACTTCAATAAGAGGCTTCACATACTCCACTCCGAAACCAAATTCATTTTCTGACAGTTCGATATGTTCTTCGTGCGAAGGAGAACTTGTTATGGTATAAAAGCCTAATCTAACCTTTTTCGTATCAGTTTCTTGAGAGACGATTCAGAGGAATATTCTTCATTTGCTCTACTTTATCCTTGCGCAGGTGAACGGTGATCAGGAAATCTTTCTCTTTGCTCTTTCGCTCCACAACAAAAGCTTCGGGTATATATCATATACACATCCTTGAAAGTTTCTTATACTTGAGTGAATAATTCTTACTAAAATGTGAGATATTCTAGGCTGTTAGACTTTTTCAACTCGACTTACCAGAAAGATTTGATAGTTTCACAAGAAGAGCTTGTCGCTGGATGTGCCACTCCAAAGGAGAAGAAAAAGGTATACAGGGAAACGAAACCATACCAATTCTGCCTGCTATGTTTTGGAATGAATGGTTTCGTAAACTTTGTTTTCTTGGCAGGGTATATTTAGCTCAGTCATTAAAGATATCGTGGGAAGCAAACCGAAGAATGTACCTGAGATAGAAACTGCAGATACTAGAGAAAGTATCGAAGAACTTTCGGCTATCTTTTCATCTGCTAACTTTCGAGTTGACGCTGAGAATACAAATCACCAGACTGTGGATGATGATGATCTTCAGCTAGACCTAGGTATGCATATGACTAACATCATACAATATTCTAAGTGAATGATTATCTGTACTTAAATTCAAGAAAGTTTAGCATTTCAATCCTAATGGATATCGGGAAATGTCATTTAATGGATTTTAATTTTTCCTTAAAGATGACATTGACATCGACATGGACATGGACATTCCTGGAGACAAACCGAAAGAGCAGAATATGTTGGCAGCTCTGAACAAGGAGAAGTTGACAAGCAAATTTATGGCCTTTAAAGGTCAGTCCAACCTAGATGACATGAACTCATCGATCAGATTTTCTTACGCTTTCTTACTTGATAAACCTTCCAATCTACAGGTAAAGTGATGAAACAGATGAAGTCGAAAAATGAGAAAAACTCCGGTAAGCAGGAAGAGCAACAGGATGAGAAGGTTGGTCAAGTTGACGAAATTAAGAAGCGATATGGATTTTCGTCAAGTGTAAGCACACATCCTTTTGCATGCATGTCTCTCGACTAACGAATATTTTGCTTACCACAGTAATTGCACGACGAACTTTTACCCTAACCATGCACATAGCACTGATATTTTTCACCTTGGGCGATGAAACAATGTATTTACCTAGATGTTGTGGGGGTTTTACTATTCTGCAGGAATCAAACATTGCTAAAATAGCACAAAGCAAGCTGCAGGAGAATACGAGAAAGTTGCAGGGCATTAACCTAAGAGCTGCAGATATGCAAGACACAGCTCAATCATTCTCATCCTTGGCGAAAGAAGTGTTGCGAACCGAACAGGATAGGCGAAACTCATGACCCCGACTCAGCTCGTCTTTGAAATCGAACTGAAATTATACGTTCTTGTTCATTTGGTTTGTTTTTGGGTTTGAAATCTATCTTGTTTGTTTGATACATACAGTTTTCTTTAATTCTTTTGCACATAATGGATGTAAAAAACAAAGAAACTTCTGCATATATAATCAGGAAATTTGAGTTGCATGGATGAAATTATTCTCTCAGTCTAGCAGCTTTTTGTGCTCTTCTTTTTTCCTTGGGGATTAAGCAGCTAACAGAAAGCCTGAAGATGCAATTTTGTATATTTGAAAAAGCATAAAAATGATGCGATACACATGCAAACATAACCAGTTATAAACCTTTAATAAAAAACAGACATTGAGAGACACTTAACTGGCAATAAGTTGCATATAAACCACGGGTTGTGACCCTTTATTCATGTCTTACCGTCCTCGAGTTTAATTTTTTATTATAAGTTTTTAAAACAAGATCATGCTGAAATTCAAAAAGAAGAAATACACTATTTATTTATTACTTCACAATTTGTATGTCGAATTAACTCATTAAAAAACACAAAAGTAAAAATTTGTGCACACGTATCAAACTGCAAGTACATACCTTAATCTACTTCAAGTTGAACTGAGCCGGGCTTTCTTGGGGAAGAAGTTCACGATTGTGTTTGGAATCAAAATTACGACCAGTGGATTCCTTAACGCGTCCGTTTCAATCTGGATCCAATGGCAGTAAGATTGCTGGTTGTCATTTTCCAAGTACGCATTTACAAATTCAGGCATCAACAGCATTCTGAACATTTTCGGGATGTTAATGGTTGACCTGCCATTATCTACCTCAACATCTCAAGCGTTGTTTTGCGTACTGTTCATCTCAAACCGAATGCAGTTGGGGTTACAAAGACTTACCTCTCTTAGGCACTTTACAATCAGCTTTAAAAACTATAGATTGGTTTCCAGAAGAAGGGCTGCTACATGCGAGTCTTACTTCTTTCTACATTTATAATCCTCTAAGTAGGACTTTGGACCGAAGGGGTTTCAACGTCTCAGCTCTCTGCAAAGCTTGCATCTAGCTGAGGTGCCCTGAGCTTCGATGCTTGCCAGATGAAGCGCTGCCAGCTACTCTTTTCGAGTTTGAAATCGAGAGCTGTCCCTTGCTTGCACAAAGGTTTCCGAGGGAGAATGGAGAAGATTGGCCCAAGATTGCTCACGTCCATCGAATAGAGTCACGGGTGTTGATTTGGTGGCTCTCTCGCTCTGCTTACCTACTTCTTGCGCGGTTTCAGTTTGTGCTTTTAAGCTTAGTTTCCTCTAATTGAATTCACAAGAGCTCATTAATTAAAGAAGAGTCGAGGGGCATGGACAACGAGAATAAGATTTCCTAGGCAGTTTCTTACTCCATAAATTAAACTTTCCAATCTGCGGGTGAAGTATTGAAACAAATGAAGTCCGAGAATGAGAAAAACTACAGTAAGCCGGACGAGCAACAGGATGAGAAGGTTTGTCATTAACAAGAGATGCGGATTTTCGTCAAGTGCAAGCACACACACTAATACATCTTTTGCATGGATGTCTCTCGAGGGACGGTAAACCAACAATAAGTTGTATATAAACCACGGTTTGTGACCCGTTACTCATGTCCTACCGTCCTTCGAGTTCCATTTCTGATTATATGTTGGTAAAATAACAATATCATGCTGAATTTCGGAAAGAAGATATGCACAGTTGAGTATTTATTTTTGAAAATACCATATGAGCTCCTTCAAGTCTTACAATTGAGGATGATTAACGACCATAGTTATTGTTTCCTCAACAAAGCTACTAACTGGGAGTATATCTCTTCTTTAACAGTATCCCTGTTACTTTTGCTCAGCGTAAACATTGTTGCCCCCGGATGATTCTTCAACCTTGCAACTGCACAAGTTCAGAAACCCTAGTCATATACAGATTAATCACAAAAAACAGGATGGCATAAACCTAACATCAACTTCGCCATTCTCTATACGTAGTTTTGTTCGGTCACCAACTCCAACCCAGTGCAACAAGCAATAATTGGTGAAAAACACGCCTAAAAGGAAACTGATTTTCCACCTTGAATTTACTATGTTCGGATGAAAATCATACATATCATCATGATTCTAAAACTGTTAGAACATAAACCAAAATTAGAGCAATTGTGCAGCAGTGTAACAAGCCAAGCAAAATAATGGAATACTTGAGGAAAGTGCACCTGCAGGTATATCACGACCGAATTTTGGAATTGGGACCGTGGCCAAAAACGGGACATTGGACTCCAGAATCCTTAAAACACAAGGGAAGAACGATGAACTGAATAACTCCATCTTCCCAACTTCATCAACGATGAATAGATCAGTATCTTCTCTTACCTGATAACACATCACAAAAGGATGACACAATTCAAATAGTGAAATGCCATAGCCGCATGATGCTTGAAAACAATGCGACAAGAAAATAGTTTCACAAAATACCGCAAACGTGAAGGCCTAAAAGTTAAACTAAATTGTGTAGAGGGGGTGGCGAGAGTTGATCAGTAAGCAATGAAAAAAATCATCCCACCTGCAATTCAGGCAGTGCCAGTGACTCAAACGATGCAACATCGACTTTGTACTTCCACACAGTAGGCCATCTCAAAGACTCTGGGCTGACATACAAAAACATGTTTTAGGGTTTAATGCTATGTAGCTGAATAATATGAATGAATGTTTACTTAATTAGTATAGTAGAACCCCGAATATTGTTAATGTTAGCGAAAAACACTTATAAGAATCAAACTATGAAAAAACAAAAAGCGCTCGACTATCAACTGTTAATGTCCGGTGCAGTAACAGTCGGGCGCAATAAAAGTTGGGTCGATGGATTTCATCTTCAAAATGGTTTCTGAAGTGCTTTTTAACTAGGAAATGGAGTTATGGAAACTGAAGCAACAAACATTTAGAATGGATGAAATGAAAAGAAAGACCTGGAAATGGTGGTGGAGGAGAGGGGAGCTGTACGGCCGTCCAACGTGACCACCTGGAACCCCACTCTCTCACTTCCTTCTCTAACCTCACCTACACATTACAATTACAAAAATCTATATGATGTAAATAAATATGAAAAAACTGAAAATTAAGAGAGAGAGAGAGAGAGAGAGAGAGAGAGAGAGTTACTAGTGTAGAAACCCTGAATTTTTAAGTTTGGATATGATGCTTTTAGGGTTTCAAACACTCTCATTACCAAAGTGCTTTTGCCCACACCCTGCACCAGAAATCAACATCATCATCACCAACCGAAAGCACTTTTGAGAAAAGCATTGAATAAATAGAAATATGAAATCAAAATTTGACTGGAAATTGCTTTAGCTTACAGGAGGTCCGGTCACCAGCAAGCACTTTCCGGGGCCGGCCATCTCTAGCTACTCCTCCTCCCTCTTCCACTGTCGTTCGTTTCTATCCCCGCTCGATCAGCCTACGCGACTAAGTTTACAGAAAGAACGACAGGTCGTTGCGGAAGAGAGGGTACGGAGTTGATTTCATTACTGCTTTGGGCTGGCTGTGTCGGAGAGTTAAGGCCCGCCCAGGCCAGGCCTAAATAAGCCCAATAAACTTAAGCTTACCGAGGGGAATTATTATTTTTTTAACTTTTTAATCATAGAGTAATCATTATAATAAAATTTTATATTAAAACACACCGACAAAATCTGGAGGATTAATAAGTGCTTTGATTTGGGGATCTGGTTATGAAATCACGTGATCTGTTATCTTTTTTAGGATAATTTGGGGATTTAGTTAGGATCCAATGTTATTAAAAAAAATTAAAACAGAGGATCCAAATATATTTTTGTCGGTCATAAATGGAATCAAATACTTTATACGTTAATACTGATTTTTTTGGTTAATTATTTTCTCCATCTTATGATTTGCATAAAGTCGTCATATTTAATTATTTTCCTTTAATTGCGAGTCTTCTCATGTTGGTTGCATAACCTCACTTTCAAATCTCAAGCGCAAGTATCGTTTAAATTATCTAAAAGCGTTTTTAACACTTCCAAAGTGCATATCTACAAGCATGCCCATTCTTCTCACGACCAACGCCCATTGGTAAAAACTTTTGCAAGTGGTCATGTTAAAACTCACAGTAGCGAGACCAGCTTGTATAGAACAGGTTCACTGAAATCATTGCTCCCCTGCCATTGTAGGTCATGCCTCGTTCTATGGCACGAGCATACTATAAACGTAGCATCCCGTGCCAATGTCAATCTCTCCAAGAGAGTTTGATTGAGAGTGGAATACCACCATATTAACATCTCAATTGTCGTCCCCATTGGGAGAATTTCTCAACCCAATTGTTCCAACATCCAGAGGCAAAGTCAATCACCATCCCCAAGATAAAGTCAACACTACAAGAAGGGTAAACTCAAACACCAAAATCACCCCCATCACATACAACAAGATTGAACAACGACAAACATTCATACAACCCAAATCCCCAAATGTAGACTAAACAAATCATATTACCAAGTCATCAAGCATACTAATCAAGGCTTAAATGCTACTTAAACGAAAACCATACACTAAATTGCAGAATAAGCTATAAAACGAGTTATATAACGAAAGCAAACTGAAATTCATTGAACATAAGGAGGATCATTAAGTACAGAAACGACGACATTGGAATCGCGAGGAGAAAACAATCCTGAAACTGAATCCGATTTTTTTTTGTGTTTTCCTAAAAACTAATCCCTAAAACAAAAGGTAGAGAGCCAGCAACTTATCCATAGTGAAGAAAAAGTGCAGGCAAGCCCTTCAATTATCTTCTAAGCAACCCTACACATATCGCTTCTCCCCCTCCATTCGATTCCCTTTGCTCTACTCATCGTCGTCTTCCTCCTACAACACAGCCAACAGCCAACACAAACAATTAAGTTACTAATTCAACTACTGAACATGCGAAACAATGAAAAAAAACCACAACTGTGAACTCGATTAATCGAAAACACAACTGACCTCGCCGCTCTCGTCCTCGTCTTCATCATCATCATCATTTACCTCAGACTTGGACTTGTCAGACTCTTCTTCGTCAGCTTCATTAGGTCCATCAGCCTAATTCACATAAACAAACCAACAAAGTCTCACAAATATCCTCAACCCGATAACTAAACGAATTAAACGAAAGTCGGAACACGAGCGCTTACTAATTGCTTGTTGTATGCCTGAATGTTCTTGTTATACTCAACCTTCCTCTTATCTGCCTTGGCTTGATAGGGAGCTTTCTCCTGATTAATTCAAGGACAGAACAATCAAATCAATAAAATCCAACACCAAAATTGACCAAATAATTTCGTATTACTCACTAATCAAAGAAATTAAAACGATAATTGAACACTCACAGCATCTGACAACGATTTCCATTTCTCACCGCCAGCCTTACCGACCTGTTTGGTTTCGATTAAACAAAATTAAAATTAATTTGTATAAATTTAAACTCAAATTAATAAATTAATTAATCAAATCAACTAATCAGAGAGTAAAATCGAAGATCAAGCCCGTAGATCTGAGAAAGAGATTTGACTTACAGCAGCAACCGACTTGTTGTTTGGATGGTCTTTCTTGTACTTCTCTCTAAACTCCTCCCTATACAAGTACGAAATAAAAGTAAAATTCAGTAAAACAAATCTAAACAAAACAGATAGATAGAGAAAAAGTCAGATCTAGAAATTCAACGGAAGAGAGAGAAAGATAGTTGACCGTACATGAAGACGAAGAAGGCACTCGCAGGCCTCTTCGGCTTGTTCGGATCCTTTCCGGCTTTCTTCGCGGGCTTCTTGCTCGCTCCGGTACTCTTACTCTTCAACCTACCAAAATTAAAAAAAAAATCAACAAAAATTCAAACACACGAACAGAGCAAAAATCAAAGCACGTTACAACAAATCGAAGATCTCCGATCAAACCGATGCAATCGGAGAGTAATCTAAGCCTGATAGAGCAAAAAACTTACTTCGTATCGCGTTTGGGAGCAGCTGCTCTGGCTTTCCCCATGGCGAACCTGCAAACAGACAAAAAAACCGTAAAAAACCGGCGAGAACGAGCGAGAATCGTTCAGAAACGGTAAAAAACGGTGCGACTCAGACCGAGTCAGAGCGGCGGAGGCGCGAGTTTACCTAGGGTTTTCGAGAAGAAAAATAAGACGAAGACGCAGAGAGAGAAAGAGCTAATACGCCTTTGTTTTTTGTTAGGCGGTGCGTGTGTGCGAAGCTTGGGAGAGGAAAGAAGGGTAGGGGGATAAGAAGGAATTAGGAAGGGGCAATATTGAATTTCGACTAACCAAAAAAATTGAAGTTTTGGGTTTCGGCGGGATTTCAAAAATGTTTTGCCGCGTCAGCTATCCGTGCGCTATGCCTTCATTTGCTGTTGGACTCTCCCTTCTGTGCTTCCTTGTGTGCTTCTTCGCGAGCGAGGCGGCCACGTGGGAATGCACGTGATAGGGGTAGGGGTGAAATGACGGTTTTGGGGTTTGATTTTGTGCGTTGGTGTCTCTAGTGGTTGAGGTTGATCGAATCGGTAGAATAAAACGTGTTGTACGCAACAACTATATTGGTGTGGGATATTATTGAGGCGAGGGTAAATAAGGAAATTTGGTGGCTTGATATTTCTGGATTTTTTAATATTTTTTTAATTTAGAGATGGGCTGCAAACGATCCGGTTGAATCGAAAAATATTGTGCTGCTGATATTTGACTTTTTTATTCTTTTCGAACTCGAGCTAGGTTTGCCTAAGTTCTTACACGAGTCGAGCTCGAGCTTAAAAGTATCGAGTTCGATACCTAACTCAAGTTGTTTTAACCCATTTTTAATAATAAGTTGGTTAGATTGTGTAAAACGCTTTGCAATATCATGATATGGTTTTGGCTTAAAAGCTGATTACGATATTAAATCTTTTAAATAGTGTTCCATAATAATCATTAATCATCATATGTATAATCTAATGATATAGGGTTTAGTGTACACTACTACACAATTTAGTGTTAAATTTATAGCAATATTTTACTTCTTAAAATTTTTGAAGTAGATACTAGCACTGGAAACAATGAATAATCTGTTATAAATAGGTCAAAGTTAAAGAGATAACATTTACTAATGACAGGAACGAAGCAGGTGTAAAATATTACACTATAACTATAGCACAAGAGGATGACAAATAAAAGAGGTAGGAATAAATATTGATGTTATTGATTTTTCCTTTCTTACTCTGTGTCTTTTGATAGCGGTCGGAGTGCTCTATTTATAGAGCAACTCCGTACAAACATATTCTTACATTTTGAAATTTACAGAACATGACTTTGAAAATACAATCACCTTTATTTCCAAAATCTACATCACTTTGTGTGGGTATTGAAAAAACTTATGTGGGCATTCATTAAACTGCTAATGGTTTCAACATTGCCAATGTTTTCAACTGCTAATGTTTTCAACACTCCCCCTTGAATGCCCACATATCAACATTAGTTGTCTCGTTAAAACCTTGCTTGGAAAAACCCAGGGGGAAAAAACCATAGCGAAGGAAAAAGAGTACAACTTTACTTGGATTGTTATGCTTATGTTGCCTCGTTAAAACCTTGATAGGAAAAACCCAGTGGGAAAAACCTTAATCGAAGGACAAAGAGTACAACATGCATGTGTCATGGATGCTTCCCCTAATATATATCTCCCCATGATTTTGCATTTTCCAAATTTAGCTGTTTGGTAAGCCAACGTAATCCGATACTCTGCACTATCTTCTGAAACGTGCATTTTGGTAAAGATTTGGTGAACAAGTCTGCCAGATTTTCATTGGAACGGATTTGTCTGACTTCAATAACTTTAGCCTTCTGAAGCTCATGTGCATTGAAAAACTTTGGAGATATGTGTTTAGTCTTATCGCCCTTGATGAATACTTCCTTCATTTGGGCAACACAGGCTGCATTATCTTCATGAATGACAGTTGGAGTGTTTGTCTTTGAAGTTAGACCACATGAATTCCGAATATGATGGATCATTGATTTTAACCAAGAACATTCACAACTTGCTTCATGTAAAGCAAGTGTTTCTAAGTGATTTGAAGATGTAGCAACTAATGTTTGCTTTATTGAGCGCCATGAGATTGTTGTATCTCCATTCTTGAACACATATCCAGTTTGTGAGCGGGCTTTATACGGATCAGAGAGAAAACCAGCATCTGCATATCCAACAAGGACCTGATCATTTTGTGGATTTCTTTGAGTAGAAGAAACTCATGTTGGTTATCCCACGAAGGTATCGCAATACATTTTTTGACTCCCTTCCAATGACGAATTGTTGGAGCAGAGTTATACCTTGCTAATAGGTTGACTGAAAAAGTTATATCTGGTCTAGTACATTGTGCTAAATACAATAAAGCACATATTGCACTTAGATATGGTACTTCTAGACCACTGACCATTTTATCATCTTCTTTTGAACGGAATGGATATTTCTTAATATCCAAAGAACGAACGACCATTGGTGTGCTAAGTGGATAAGCCTTGTCCATACTAAATCGCTTCAGGATTTTTTCAATGTAAGATGATTGGTGGACCAAAATTCCACTATCACCATGTTTGATCTGCAGGCCGAGACAAAATTTTGTTTTTCCAAGGTCTTTCATTTCAAATTCGCTTTTCAAATATTTAGCAGTTTTATTGAGCTTTTCAAGGGTTCCAACTAGGTTCATATCATCAACATAAATTGCCACTATAGCAAATCCAGAGTTAGATTTCTTAATGAACACACAAGGGCAAATGACATTGTTGATATATCCTTCTTTAATGAAATACTCATTGAGATGATTATATCACATTCGTCCAGATTGTTTCAGCCCATACAATGATCACCTTAATTTGATTGAGAGCATACCTCGTGGTTTGTTAGTTATTTCAGCCAACTTAAGTCATTCTAGGACTTTCATATATATGTTAACATCTAATTCTCCATATAGATGAGCAGTGATGACATTCATAAGTTGCATGTCAAGTTTTTCTGAAACCACTAAACTATTAAGTAATGGAACATAATTGCGTCAATTACAGGAGAGTATGTCTCCCCATAATCAATTCTAGGTCTTTGCGAAAAACCTTGTGCAACGAGTCGTGCTTTATATCTTGCAATCTCGTTGTTCTCATTACGTTTCCTTGTGAATACCCATTTGTAACCCACGGGGTTTACACCAGGCGGGGTTTGGACTACTGGTCCAAAAACATTTTGCCTTTCCAAAGAATTTAATTATGTCTGGATTGCATCTTTCCATTTAGGGCAATCTTGTCGCTGTTTGCATTCATCAACATAGCGGGACTTAAGATCATCACTTAATATGATTTCAGTGGCTACCGCAAATGCGAACATATCGTCAATGATTATTTCATTATGATCCCACAATTCATTAGTACAAGCATAATTTATGGAGATTTCTTTGCTTTCATGTACCTCTGTTTCTTCAGGTACATATTTCTCATCAAAGACATTTTCTTTTTCTAAAAGTACAGAATCATGAATTATGGATGTGTCATTCATTTTTTCTTTTTGAATGATTTCATTTGGATTCAGTTGTGCCCTTGACTTTCTCTTTCGAGGGGTTGAATCGTTTGAACCTGGGAGTCTACCACGCTTCAGGCGTGCACCAGATGAATCATTTGCTGCCACTTTATTTTTTCCAACATGAACATCAATTCTTGTAGGTGCATTTGCAGCTAGTATATGTGATTTTGTCACTTTTATAGCATCATTAAATGCATCTGGCATTTGATTAGCAATACTTTGAAGATGAACGATCATTTTCACTTCATTTTCACATTGAATGCTACAAGGATCAAAATGAGATAAGGTGGGAACAACCCATATTAGCTTTTTCCGTTCTTCTGGAACGGTCTTTTCTCCCCCTAACGACGGGAAGACCGTCTCATCAAAGTGACAATCAGCAAAACGAGTTGTAAACATATCACTTGTAAAGGGTTCCAAATATCTAATGATAGATAGTGAATCAAAACCCATGTAAATTCCCAGTCTGCAATGAGGTCTCATTTTAGTTCGTTGTGGTGGTGTAATAGGTACATAAACAGCACAACCAAAAACTCGTAAATGTGAAACGTTTGGCTGATGCCCAAACACGAGTTGTACTGAGGAGTATTGGTGGTTGGCTATAGGTCTCAATCGAACCAATGATGCATCATGTAAGATGGTATGTCCCCATGCAAAAACTGGCAATTTTGTTTTCATGAGCAGAATGCAAGCTATTAATTGAAACCGCTTGATCAATGATTCTGCTAAACCATTTTGAGTATGGACATGAGGAATAGGGTGTTCAACATCAATGCCCAATGTCATGCAGTAACCATCAAAGGTTTAAGACGTAAATTTACCAGTGTTATCAAGTCAGATTGACTTAATGGGGTAATCTGAGAACTGTACTCGCAACTTAATTATCTGAGCAAGAAGTCTCTCAAAAGCTACATTCCGAGTAGATAAGAGACAAACATGTGACCATCGGGTAGATGCATCAACCAAAACCATAAAATATCGAAATGGTCCACAAGATGGTTGAATAGGCCCACAAATATCCCCTTGAATTCTTTGCAGAAATGATGGGGATTCAGCATCAACCTTTAGTTGTCATGGTCTAATTATCAACTTATCTTGAGAACAAGCCTTGCAAAAGTTATCATTTGAGATTGCAATGTTTCTGCTCAATAATGGATATCCATTAGAGTTGGTAATGATTCTACGCATTATGGTATATCCTAGGTGACCCAGACGGTCATGCCAAATCATGTAAACTTTTGATTCAATGAACTTCGGGTTCATGACAATATGTGATTCAACTGTCTTTATGTATGTATAATACAATTCACTCGACAAACCACGCAATGTCTCCAATATATGCTTCTGGGTATCATTGGAGGTAATGCATAGATACTCCACATTTTCTGTACTTTTCGTTTCAATGTGCTATCCATTTAAATGTATGTCTTTAAAACTTAACAATTTTCGAGTAGATCGAGTAATGTATAACATATTATGTATGGACAATATTGTTCCATTTGGTAACATAATCTAGGCTTTTCCTAAACCTTCAATCATATTTGATTGCCCTGATATTGTTGTTACCTTTACTTTTGTAAGCATCAATCTTGATGATCTCGAAGTATTGTATGTGTGGTTGTGCTGTCTGCAAGACAAATATCTCCGTTATTTCTCATGTTTTGAGAATGACCATAGTTTTTATCCATGTTCTCTGA